AAGTAATATAGAAAAACATATTTGCTAAGAAATCATCCAACCAAAAGGTAGGTGTTGTGGTGTCTTTCTACAAACTGGCAGTTGGGGTTTACCCCTATTTGGGTGTGTCTTGTTTTGGCGACCCACACAAAAAATGGTGATTTTCCTTTGGTTGCAAAATCGACCAAAAAAGGGTACTCCAAAAGACAGACCGACTTGGAGCCAACTGGATGGATGTTGGGCAACTGGCAATGGCATCCTTTTTGCCTTCTTGCTCAGAAGCCAAACCACGGAACCCTACAGTGAGACAAAATCAAAGCCTGGTATCAAAAGAGTCTACCCAAACTGGCAAAAAACAGCTTCTTGCCGCACCTATCTATTTCTGGCCAGGAGGACGGCCCAAACGCAAATCTTCTTTCTACCCTTGGCCCAAATCCGAGCAACTACCAAAACAAAGGATGTTCCAGATTTCATCGACCTCAAAAAATACAATGATTTTGGAGGAGGGCCCTCAAGATTTGATGGTGCCAAGAAGCTCCCAGTTCCGCAGCCGCGCCAGGAATCGCATCACGTCAGACTGCTTCTTGCCTCAGGCGTGAGTTGTGTCGAGTGCGAGTTGCGTCACGCGAGAGACGTGGGACATAGTCGCCCCTTCTGTGCTGAGAGGGTTCTCCCATACTATTTTGTCCCTAGGAAGGCTCCCTTGCCACATCACACACGGAAAGTGGCAGCCTAAAACCAATCGCTTGTCCACATGAGTTCCAGATGATGACCCCGAAAAGAGGGAAACAATTGGGTGAGCCCTGGCTTCTGTGAGAAACTTGGAAGTCCCGCCTCGGCCTCCCCAAACCAAGGGCCCCCTTTTTGTTGTCCCCCTTGCCCCCTCCAAAGGCCAGTTGCCTCCTAATACTAGGGCAAGTGTCAAAACAAGGAGAGCCCCAAAAAGTGGCTGTACCCTTTAAATGCCTTTCAAACCCAAACAAAGAATGTACTCTCATAAAAACACCAAACTCATTAAGACCCTCCAGGAAGACCGAAGGCGAAGCAAAGGCCCCTGCGCCACATTTCTTCGAGGTATTTGTACGCGCCCATGGTGCTTCTTGGGTACCTGCACAAACGCGGAAGCGACTCCCAACCGAGTTTAGGGGGAAGCCAACCGCTTGTTGGACTTTTTTGAGATGGGTGTGTACCCAGAATGGAGTTTTCCTTTTGGTCTCATTTAAAAAGGGGCACCCTCAACAAAAGGCGCAGCCAAATGGCAACTGGGCTGTTCATCTTTGATCCCCTGCAAAAAGTCGGAAACTTTTACTAAACCAACTAAAAACCTAAAAACCTAAAGGGATGGCTGGGACCAAGAGAAGAAGCAGTTGTTGGTAAGGTGGGGCGCTCTGATACAAGAACCCCGCTTTAAATCGGCAGATGCTTCAAACCACGCGAGATAAATAAAAGCAGCCCTGTTCGCACGTGGCACACCCATTGACAGGGTTCCTGAAAATTTCCCCGACATCAGCCTGCCCTACGGGGATTTCTGGCTGACCCAAAAGATTCAATTTGAAACCATCATGGGCACCGTGTCTCCCTTGGAGTGTACCCCTTTGGCTCATTCGAAAGGAAAACAGCAAGGAAACCACTCTGTTTTGTTTGGGGGGTTCAGCTGGCTGGCCCAGAACGCTTGGCTCACTTGCTTGGTCTCGCTGCGTTCTTGGCTGGACAGTCTGGATACTTCCCAGAACCAGAATGGCTGCGGTCATCAGCGGCTGCGCAAGCCGTCCGTGCAATGTGAGAGCGGCCCTGATTTAGGAAGCTGGCGGGAGGGCAAACAGATGAGCACACCGAACAAATCCCACGAGACCCCTGAAACAAAACTACCTGCTAGTTGATGGGGAGGCGTCGGGCGTCGTGTTTTTTCTGGGTCAGGTACGGAGTAAGCCCGTGCATTTTCAGGGATCCCAGGTTCTCAGACACACCTAGTCCATCCTAAGGCAAACGCGGATACCCCCAGCTCCGCAACCATATGCGAAGAACGCAGCTGATATGTGCAAAGTTTGGAACATACACCTCTTTCAAAATGTCAGAGCCAGCCCTGTGCAGAAAGCTATCCTTTGTGGGTACCAAAGGCAAAACGGAAGCCAATTTGGGGGTCCCCAGAAAACAAACCCAAAGACGCTCTGGGATACCCGGCCTCAACTGGGCCCTCCTGCCGAGCAGTCTGGGGAACTTGACGGGACCTCCTCGGGGAAATCAAGGGACACGCCTTGAAGGGGAGTTCCCCACGCTTTCTTGGAGAATGTCCCAGAAGTTTCCCAGAGAAAGGTCGAAAGTATGACTGTTTTTTTGTTACGGCCTTCCCAAAACATGTTGACTTTGTGATTGTGTCGCAAACGAATTTCATGCAGAGAAACGCATTTCCGCAGTCTCAGTCGGTAGCCCAGGCGCTTGAACTTTGCAATGCAACAGCACGCGCTTCTGCACTAAACGTCAACAGTTCTGTCTGACCCAACACCTGGTCGCAAATAGGGGCCTCCCAAGGTTTGTTCTCCTGCTGGTTTCCCCTCCCCAAAATGATGCTTGAGTCCGATTGATATGCTGGATTCTCGAAGTGTTGCAAGTTAATCAGCCTCAAACCATGGTATATGACAAAACTTAGTTCCTCGGTGTATGGCATCAACCCAACCTCAACAGTGAAATTCCTGAAACTTTGAGGTGTTCTCTGTTTTTCACTTGCAAACCAAACCTTCCCTCACCGCCATGCGTCCGCCCCAAGGGAAGTAAGGGAAGCCAATGGGAAGCTGCTTGCCATGAGCCACGTGTCAAAGGGAAGCCCAAAAGCTTCCGACTGCCCCTTGACATGTCCATGTTTTGGGGGTGTTGGTAAAGACTGAGGAACCAAGACCATTAGGTTCGATAAATTGCGGACCCCCAAACAAAGGGACCCCAAGAAAGAAAGACGAAGGCCAGTTTGATATTTCTGTGGTTTCCACAAAAAGGGCGTGCCCCGATGTCTTGAGCAACCATCCCCCAAACAAGAACCTTCGCCCTAAAAGATTGGCTTGCCCCTAGAATTCAACCCATCAATGGAATGGCAAGGACCCAAATTTACATGATACCTTAGGCAAATGGTTGCCACACTAACCCAACCATGAGGTTGCCTTTGGCTTCCCTTACCCAACCCAAGCTAAACGGGCAAGCCATAGGCGAGTCCCGGCCTCCAGGATGTGCCCAAGCACCGGATTTCGCTCCTTGCTGGGCAGGTTCCGCAAAATGGACCTGGCGAAAGGAGTTCCGGGACCCGTTTCTAGTGAGCTGGGTACCCTTTTTGGGGTTTGAAAGGGTATCTGTTTTGGGTATCACTTGTCTGAAAACCTTTGTTAGGGATGATATCTAAACTAAACCCTTCGCGATCGTTTCGAGACTCCACGCTTGCCTCTTCCCAGAGTCGGTAACAACGTCGCCGCTGCAAAAAAAAACGCAAAGGGACCCTGTTCAACATGGCCCTGACTTGCTGGTTCTCAGGGAATGAGGGAATGACCATGCTCAAGTGGCCTCCTTTGGGAATCCCATTCCGGCTTCCCGAGATTCTCGACATTCCCTACTGAGAACCGGCAAGATGACAGTGATGGAGAACTGCCGCAAACGAATGGATGGCTGCTGTACACACACGCGCGCGCACACACACACACACACATGTCAAGTATGCCAAAAGGGTCCCAATTCATACCGCGCTGAAGCACACACACAGACACCTCTACACCGACCCTGCCCCGGCTCTAGCCTTTGCTGGACATTAAACAAAAAAAACAAAAAAAACTGGGGATGGTGATGCCCGACAGTGTTTGAAGGAATGAACATTCGCAGCGAAAGAAGAGCCACAGGAAATCAGATTGATCACTTGTTGCCTTCACAGCAATACTGTGGATGGACAAATTCCTACATCAGTGTTGGCAGGTGGCTTATCCACGGACCCGTAAATTCATGGTATTACTATCATTGCTATGCGCAGTGTTTCCAGTTATCATTTTGGCAAGTAGCCAGAGGAAACCATCACGTAGAGGCAAAAGACCCGAAGTGTTGCCTACTGGGAGCTGGAAGCACTGGGATGGTTTTGACAAAGCCGTTCTGGAGGAATCCCCGTGCAAAAGCGAGTGGTCTTTGTGAGTAACCCTGTTTGTGATTCTACTGGTTGACGTTGGAAGGAGAGCAAAGATTTAAATTTTAGCAGTTAAGTGGTTGGATTTCCCACTGAACCACAATAAGCAAAAATGTCAACTGTTTCCCAACAACAACCATGTTCTGGACGGATGAACTAACCCCCCCACGTTCTCCACTTCCAGCGCCTCAGAGCTTGCCTCAGCCGCCGCAACGCCCGGGGCGGCGCCTCCCCTCGGAAACCGAGGCACGTGTGTTTGATACCCATTTAAAGGGCTGCCCTATGTAGAGACAAACCCGTCAAAATGGAGAAAGTTGGGGGCCAGGTCCGTGCCGTAGGCATTTGGAGCCTATTTTGCAGCTACAAAAATCCAATGCTACCTCAAGAGGATGCAAAAGTGAGATGTGTCCATGTCTCAGGATAGGCCTTGGCTGGTGTCCTTGACGGGGTCCCTCTCAACCACTTCGCCAAGTGCCCGGCAGAAAGACGGCCGCTCCTGTCGCCGGTGGGCAAAAACATTGTGCCCAAACGAAGCCTTGGGGTAGGCCTTCTGTGAGATGCACGGGCCTGTACTACAAAAAACCTACCGATTTTCGCAGGAGGTGTTTGGGGGTGCCCGTCGAAGGGATTCGGACCCGATGACTTTGGCTTCCGTTTTCCCTTGAGTCCTTTGCTGAAGGCGGCACCTCCAAACAAAAGCACACCCAGTTTGGAGAACGTCACTACCGAGTATCTCGCAGCGATTGGTGCGAGACATGTGAAACCTGGCCCCAAGGAACCTGGAGGGTCCATGGGCAAAAACTGTACAAGCGTGTACGCCGACAAAGGGCCAGCGCCCATCTGTGTGCGTCAAAAGATGAGTTCCCGTCTAAGTACACATATTCAACGGCTTTGCCACGTGAGAGACCAGCTCCCTCAAAAACGAGAGCTACACAACACACCCATACCTCCGACTCTAAATACCTGCTCTGTTTGGCATCATATCAACCTTCTAAACAAAAGGGAGTAGTTGCCATGGAAAACCGTCTTTTCTATCATACCGTTCACCAGAGGGCATCTGGAGACCCGGACATCCGCGGCGCAAGGCCTGCATGCGCCAGTCGTGGATCTTCATGAGAGTCGGGCCTCGGAGGCTGTCTCGATGTCGGGTGCTAGGCGGAATCAGAGCCGGAAGACCCCAAGGACCACAGCAAGGACCGTGTAAAAAAGAAAAGAAACACACAAAGAACTGTGTCAAGCACAAAAAAAAGCCACACAAAGGACCACGTGAAGAAGCATGTACGTTGAAACACGAAAGAACAAAGTAACGAATGATCTACCCAAAGTGGCGAAGAACAAAGAGGGCGGATATCCCCGCCTACGCCACATAGTTTTCGGGCATCATGTCAAGGGTCGTGTCTGACGGACGCGCCTTGGGACGCCTCTGGCAGGGAAAGGCCTCGGCGCCAGCCAACTGATGCAGTTGATGTGTCTCTTTTTCGAACCCCCCACCCCCCCCATGTCAAAAGCCTGTACCCCCCGTGAACATCCCAATCCCCACTAAGATAGACTAAAATGGGTGGTGCACCTACCCCAAAATGGTACCATTGGGTTTGACCCACAGCCAAATGAAAAGAAACATAAGCCCTGGTGATATCCCCAACAGCCCCAGAACCCCAGAGCCTGTCTGGGCTCAGACCCCATAGCTTTCAGCTGGTGGGGAAAAAGAAGGCTCCCTCAAAAAAGGGCAAACCCACGTGTTTGAAGTATTGGCTCCATTTTCATTGAAGGAACCAGTTGAAACATATTCTGCCCCTCTGGAAATTGGACCCATAGGACGCATGTTGCTCCAAATACCTGCCTGTTTAAGGGTATCATGTTAACCCTTTACTAAAAAAAGTGATGCTTAACATGGGAAACTTCTATTTTTTGAGAGAGTACTTCGAGTAGGGGGTACCTTCACATAGCAAACACGCCAGATCACGTTCACCCCCAACACTCTCCAGAGCGACCCTCGGATATGAACATGTCAGACATACTGTGCATTGTTGCGAAATCCGTTCGCACCACCCTGAAACCATGGTTGAAGAAACCATTGGTGGCTGGCATTTACAGGGGAATCCTGAACGGTGTAAAATGAATTTCGTCCATCCACAGTACGGCTTCCCCTGTTTCAGTCAAACAAAGCCCAGGTGGTATGCCCAGCAACCCTTCTGGAACCACTTCCGCCCTCAGCCGCTCTGAATCATTCCAGAGAGCGCAGACCCCACTTTCAGCTCTGGATTTGTTTTGGTTGGGACTCAACCCAAAAAGGAAAACATATATGGCTGTGACTCTTTTTGGACGGTACCCCTTTCTCGGCGGTGTTCAAGGAAAACCAAAAGGATAACCACCGTCCCCACCGTCACCTCAACCATGTGGGGCTTGCGTCGGAAAAAAATGACACACGCCCCTTTCGAGCCAAAAGATGCAGCGGTTGGGCTCTCCTTTCGGCGTTCCACCGGCTCGACGAAGTTCTCTCGGCGTCCGCGCACAGCTCCAAGGCCAGAGAAAGCGAAGCCTGAGATCTCGGACGAAGCGCCCGGCGCTCGTTTTGGAGATGCAGATGCGTGTGGGTCAAAGCCGATGGTATCCCATTTTGGGGTAGGTGAATTCACCACACATGTTCGTCTATTTTAGCGGGGAGTGGGATGTTCACTGGTACGGGGCTTTGACCCATGGCCATATGGCTGAAAAGTAGGTACCAAAGTAGGTGACCCGATCGGTAAATAGAACCAAGGCCTAAACCTGCAGTCCCGTGGTTGAATTCTGACCCCATATTAGGTGTGTCTTTTTTGGAGGGTCTGTGCTTGCGGCCTTCAAACAAAAAAGGAAAGCCTCCAGTTGTCACAGACCGGGCGGTGTTCCACAACCGTGGCAACGTCCTTCGGGCCGAGGGCAACCAAGGACCAGCACTGCTGCCACTCGAGGCATGTTTCAATCAAAGAACAAGTCCGCAAACACTGACTGTCGAAATGGTCTTCCCACAAAATGTATCAAGCCCAGAAACTCAGGGAGCACCCCGAAACGACCGGAGAGCCCTGCGAATGCCAACACCTGAGCCGCAAGGCCATGGAGACAGGCCCCAAATCCGACATCTGCCAGTCCTGGGCACGCGCTCCGGAGTTCCGGCCACCAAAAAAGGGGCATACCGAAAAGAGAACTCACATATGGCTGTGGGTCAAAGCCAATGGTATCCCATTTTGGGGAGTTTAGTCTACCTTAGCGGGGATTGGGATGTTCACTGGGGGCTAACCGATTTGGATTTTGACCCGTGGCCATATGTTCTGACTCTCTTCCACATTTCGTCTAAGACCTGTGTGGAGATCCCTGGGGTTCGGGAGCTTCAGGTTGATTCGCCGCTTTACCCGCAAACCGGCCCCATGTTCCCGTTGCCACATTTGCTGCAAGGGTACTGCTAGACTGGTCCACCAAACATTGAGGGTGTTCCAAACAATACCACATGCCAGTACCCCAAAACGAGCCACCATGATCACGCTAAAAGTCAGTGTCTGAACGAAATGACTCGAACTGGACGTCTGAGCCACGGCCAAAGGATCTCCAATCCAACTGGCACATCGAGCTATCCTTCGCCCTGAAGCTTAGAAAATGGCTGTGGCTCAAAACACCGGTACCAAAATGACTTGCCCTGGTGAGTGGAAACATGGACCAAACCCTGCGGTTTGCCCCTCCGATCGTTTAGTTTTGAGCACCCAAATAGAAAGGTCGACGAAGGCCGTGTGCCGAACCCCAAATCCCCCAGGGTCATGAGGCGTACGAGGCTTGCGGGGGCCCGAGCTGGCAGCCTTCGCCGCCTCTTCTTCTCCGGCTCGCAGTCCTCGAGCCAGTCCGAATCGAAAACCCGAGCCCGGGGGCCCGGGAAAATGCAGGGAACGAGAACCGCCGAGACCTGTGGGTGGCCCTTCTTTTTGGTTGAGTTGATTCATCGCTTCTTCCCCGGTCTGGAGCATACTTAGCGCGGATCCTCTGTGGCCTCCACACCCTCGTCGCTTCGCCTGGGAGTGAATAGAACTCGAGACTCCATCCAGCATTGCCAAAGGGCTGGGAAGGGATCAAGCTCATACCCCGTTTCACCCTCCCCTAAGCTCCCCAACCCAGACACAGGCGAGGCGGGTTGGAGAAGGGGGGGGGCTGGGGTCCTTATGACAGTTGAGCTCTTATCTCCATCCAAGCTGCTCAGCTTCGGACTCGAGGTCTTCCCTGGCGTGCAATGCGACTCTCTGAGCCGATCGCAGACTCACACATCGCAGCGCCGGCCGGCCTCATGCGACGAACTGCATCGCAACCTGCGCCGTTCTGTCGTTGGGGGCCCGTGGTGGCGAAACCAGAAGGATTCATGTTCTGCTTAGGACACCCTCCCCTGTTATGATAGGGAAAAAAGGCCCACAAGTATTCCAAAAGCGCATAAAGTTTGGGTTGGGAAATGAAACTGTACTCGCGGCAGGGTGCTAGATCAGGTTTCACTATCTGGCGTTGGTGAACATCGTTTACGGGGATTGATGTAAGAGACTCTTAGCCACAAATATCACAGCTGAACTGGGATGGATGCCCAAACCATCTAAAAAAGCTCAAAAAGGCGACAAATAAAACTCGTCGCACGAAACTTTGTTGGCGGGCTGTCCCCCTGCTGCCGACTTCGTATTTTCTTCGCTTGATTTTCAGGCCTTGATAGGGCGCCAAACATTCCAAACCTTAACCATTTGTCTTCCGTACCTTTCTTGGAGGAGATGTTTGTGAGTTTCACAGAATGCTGATCGCTGATTCTGATTTTAACCCTCCCTGGTCATGAGGGTGCGGCCCCAATCTACAGGGCTCCCTACATTTCCCCCTTCAAGATCTCCCCACTTGAAGGAAACAATCCTTGAAATCGGTATAAAGGCGATGTGTAAACTTTAAACAGTGTGCCGCTCTCAGGGTAATTACCCCTCAACATAGCCGCTTGCGTGTTTTTCGCTTTGAAGCCACACAAAAAGGGCGACCCTCCAAGAAAGACACGCCCAGCTTTGGGGAGCCCCAGTTTTGGAGCTCCTTCCGCTCTGATGGTCGGACCGGCAGACCTCTGGGCCCAAGGCACAGCCAGGTGGCGCCCGAGCGAGCGGCGTCGCCTGGAAGCGGCTCGGATGCGCTGAAATGGCGCGGGGAAACTGGTTGTGGGATGTGCTGCGAACGTAGGGAAGTGCAAATCAAGACCAGACCCCGCAAAATCAGATGGGTTCTTGAATCATGCCTTAATGGGGGGTCAAAAAGAGACCTGGTGAGTTCCCATGGATGGGACCCTGTGTCCATTTCGTGTGGGGGGGCGCCCGCTTCCAATCGGGAATAGGTGCGATCGAGGCCGAGGACCGGGAGGCTGCCCAAACTTCGTCGGACGCAAAGGTGAATGAGTCGCAACAAAAGCCTGGTTGGTCTACCCCAAAAGCTATCAAGAGGGTGGTTGCCGCACTTAGTCTGGCAAGGAGCTGTCTTCCACTAACCTTCATCTACCCGATTGTGGCTCACAAAGGAGTCCTCTGCCAATTGAGCAGCACCTATTTCACCCATTGACTTTTGGTTCTACCACAATTCTTAAGGTTTATCCCACAAGGGTGTGTCATTTTGTTTAAGTCTATATATATATATATAGTTTACGGAACCCCTACTAGCAAATCACCCCCCCCAAAAAAAAAAAATGACACACCAATATGCAGCAGGATCCTTGACACGCCCACTTGGGTTTGGGGCGCTGGCCTTCCTTGAGGATCTCCCAAGCAGCGTCAAAGGCCTTCGCAGGGCTGGTCACTGGCGACCGGCAAGCCAACGCTCCCTGAGTTAGTTGGATAGGCCCTATCCAAAAAAATCCCCCAGATTCACATGGAGCCCGGGCTTCCATCTCCGGGACCCCTTTTTTAGTCGGCATCTGGATAGGACGGGATCCAGAAGGCTCAAGCCAAATGCTTGCAAGTCTACAATCTGGATGGCCACGATCCCATGCGGCTGAAGCTTAGAGAGTCGCATACCCCGCCGCAATAAATCAGCTGGGAATGTTGATCAAAGTCTTTCTGACTCGCTGGCATGTGTGATCAAGGAAACCACACCCTCACTCCCATCACTTGGTGGATGGAAGGAAGAAGTCTGCTTCTACTTCCTCGTCACTTAGTGTTCAAACATTGTGACTTGCTTTGGTATCTAGGGGGAAACCAAAAGCAAACCAACCAATCAGGTTTTGCAGGGAACACCTACTCCCCAACCTTTCATTTGAAGGTGCCCCAAAGAAACCCGAGCCTTTTCAGGAAGAGCCGTTTTGTCCCCATGACAGACCTGGCTGCTTCGGGGCGCTTTTTTCCACGCTCCTAAAGCCCACCCAGTCTTTCCATTTGCGCTTTCGGAAATGGGCCTCCTTCACTGCAGGGCCAGAGACTCCTGGCATCAACTCAACCTACCTGCACGGAAAAAGCTTTGTTGGAATTGCTTTGGGGAAGGCGGTTTTCTCAAGGCACAGTTCGACAAGCCAAGCAAGAAAACGCCCAATAGCCTGTTTGTCTGGCTTTTGCTTGTCGGATGTGTTCGCTTTTTTCCGGAATGGCGCCACTGCAACGCAGCGCTCCTAGCAGCATCCGCCGGAGTTGCCGCAGCACCTCGCCTGCCAAGAGAAAATGGGATCTGGGGGGAGCGTGCGACTTATGTAGGCGGGCCTTAGGATTGGCGAAGGAAAATAGAACCCTATCAGATCTGAACGTCAGGCTATTCCTTCCTTCATGCCTCACAGAGAAGAGTCCCATCCTGGCTGTTCCCATTGTGACCCAACCGACTAACTCCTAGAGACAGAGTCTGATGACGGCAGGAATGAGTGAGGGAATGAATGGGAGTTGAGGATGGCATTTGGATCCGTCTGAAATAGCAGTTCATCTCTGAGATTGATGGTGATACGTCCGCACGCCAGCACACTCTCCCTTCCTTAACTTGCTCTCGTTAACACGGTCAAGGGAAAGAGAGAAGGGAAGGGAACGGTCATTGTCTTATTAGTCTATCATTTGGACTGTTCCATCGTGAGTCTTTCATAGTGACAGGAACTCCAGAAATCCAGTAAGGAAGAATCTGGGTGAGCAAGTAACATTGTCACTTGCAGCTATCCAGTAAACGTCAACACACAAAAAACAAATAAGAGAAAAAAGGAAGAAAACAACGACATGCCAAGAATAGTGAAGCCCCCAACATACGTCTGTTGTAAGACCCAAAGGTGAACACCTCATATAGATCGGCTTCGAAGGCACCCCTTCCGGAGCCAAAGAAAGGCTCCCATGGCCTTTCCGAGCCCAGAGTTTCCTAGATTGGCCTGTGGCCTACCGTCCAAAGCGCTTTGGCCTCAAAAACCAACAGCCGCGAAACCAACCGCCGGAACGAGGATCCCGCGTTGCAACTCGGGCTTGGTGCTGAGCAGTCCTACACAAGCGCTGCATCCGTGCCGCTTCCTCTAATTTGTGATTTAGATTGAGGGTTTGGAGGATGGGGGGCTCCCATTCACCCCCTGCAAAAGAAAGGGTTCAAATCCACACCAACTACGGGTTGCCTCTAATTGGTTTAGAGGCTGGGGGACCCTCTACAAGAAACACCCACTCCGTCAGGCTGAAGTGCCAAGTATCGCCTGTGGGAGGGAACCCGGATGCCTTTCCTCAGTCATGTCAGCCCGCTGTCAGTTGCCATGCTGGCGGGAGGGAGAGTCTTTTAGTCTCTTGCAATTTCCTCATGAGAAACCCAACCTGGATCATCGGAGTACGACTTTCCGGCTGGCTGAAATACCTGTTTTACACGGACATGCTCAGCAGGTTCCGGTACCCGCAAACATCCGCAAACAGATTTGCACGTAACAAAATATCGGGACCCCACCAAATGGTGGCTTTTGCCTGCGATTCCCCCAGCCTGAAAAAACCTCCGCTCTAAAACCTCCGAATCCATGTGCTCAAAGCCTGAATGCCCGCATGGCAAAAAGAAACACGCGGCACGAGCGCACAAGGACTGCGTGGCCACAAAGCGCCAATATCCAACGTCTGCAGCTACTTGGCATTACCTGTATGAAATGCAACCACGAACGTGGAACCTCTGTGTTCCTGCAGAAAACCAGCCCACATTGCAACCACTGCAGCTGGCAAGCTTGCACAAATGGTGCAGCTACCTCTGCTTGCCTTTGAGAGTGGACAATGCATAACAATGGCGGGGTCACGTCTACCTCTGTTTGCCCATGAGATGTGCTGTGTCCAGAGCCACATACCGGGTTCTGCGGAGAAAAACAAAACGCCCATCTGCTCTCGCCCGACTTTCTTCCCCGCACGCCCCCCCAACCGCAATGTTGTCAAGGAAC